TTCTCACTTGAATTTGGCCCTGAATTTCGAGACCACCCTCAGCTAAAATTGTTCGTATTGGAATGCCACATAACAAATACTTTTTTTTTTTTCTTCAGGATGTTTGAATATTTTCGGATTAATATTTTTCTCTTTGTATGGAAGACATCCAGACCCAGATGTCTGGACGGCTTGGATGGACGTCCGGAAGTCCCGATGGTAATGACTGTGCTGCATGTGCTAACCTAACTCACTTCTTGTCACCCGCTCCATCATGGGCTGGTTGCAGTGTTGGTCCCATGCAGTCGGTGAGAGTTCCAAACACAAATGAAAAGATGGTCATGAAATCAAATGAAAAAGCAGAAATATGCTTTGCGAGATGTGCCAGACTAACGTCCTGTCTATCATTCTCCATGTGGCAGGCTCCTGCTGTGTCACGCGGCCTGTGGCGGCTCTGTGGCGTGGCTGTTTTGCTGAAAGCCATGGGCTGCACGCTCGTCAAATTCAGGCAGCCTTTTCCCTACTGGAAAGGCGATAAGAGCAGAAACTGAGGGACAGCAGCACATATCACCACTGAAGCACAGTAGCTTGAGGTTACCTCTTTCGTTTCTCTCTTCTCTGCCCTTCCTCGAAGGACGTATTGGCACTGTTTCCTTATCTCTAGGCTGTGTGGGCTGACCACCATGGCAGATCCGAATCAGCAACCACAGTTGGCTGTGGTGTCACCTTCGGAGACGCTCCAGCCGCCCTTGGCCTCTTCTCAGGCTCCTGTTGTGCCTCCACTGGCAGGTCCTGCACCCGTTGCATTCTGGTGCTATTCATGCCGGTCAGAAGTCAGCCTGATGCCAGCGGTGGAAACTATTTGTCCCACTTGTGGGAGTGGATTTCTGGAGGAAATGTCCACTGCAGATGTTGTGGGTACCCTTCGACAGCAACGAAGACGAGTGCATAGCAATCCCTCAAGAAGGTTTCGATTGGGTCTTGGTGGGGGGCTGCCAACCCCACGACTTGTCCGGATATTGGAACTGTTGCATGCTGGTGATGTCCTGTCTGGTGAAGCAGCTCCAGCAAGTGACGGAGCTGCTACAACTGCAGAAGGCAGTCCAGCCGCAGAGGTTCGTTTAGCCACTCCGGTGCCTGACGTTCCTGACGTCCCTGAGGTTCCTAATGTGCCTGCGGTCAGGAGACCGAGAGAGAGGACAAGGCGAAGGGAGCTTGGAGTTCCAGGTTTCACAGATGTTACCGTCCAGGTTGTTCATCGGTGGGACCAAGAGGGCAGTCGGGAGAGACAGAGGGAGGAACAGGCTATAGGAGCTGTGGAAAGAGGCTCAATGGCTGCTGAGGAAATCAATCATGGTAGCAGGCAGGCGGAGGACCAAGGTGGGGCAGCTCCAGAGCCCTTGCTACAACCCAGTAGCGTCAATGGCGTAGAGGACGTGGGTCGGACTGCTACAGAAATGGAGGGTATTGACATCGCGGTTGGAGTCCCTGCGCGTATTTCTGCAAATGGCGGAATAGTTAACAGTGATGATGAAGATGAGGAGATGGAGGATTTGGAAGGTTTCGACGGTATGGACCAGATGGACGCAGATGATGATGAAGGCTGGGATGAGTACAGTTATTCGAACTTCCAGATTGCGGGTACTATGGATGGGGATGATGATGATGATGATGATGAGGATGACGACGAGGACGAGGACGAGGATGACGACGAGGATGAGGACGTGGAGTATGGACAGGACACAGAGAATGAAAATGAGCGGATGGGAGCCGGGAACGGGACGAGGGAACATGGGGTTGCAGGCTTGACAAATTGGCTGCTAGGGGAAGAGAACACTCAGCGTCAGCAAGTGGATGAAAACAACTCTACTCCTCTGCGCCCTCTAGGGCCATCTGGTGTGATGGGTGGTGAAAGAGCAAGGGAGGAGGCACAAACCCCACCAGGGACTGCAGAGCCCCAAAGACGTCATCGTCGTCGTCGTACCAGTCAAATGAGAGAGCACGTTGCTGTCTATGTACAGAGCCTTTTAGAGAGGAACATCGAGTTCCACTTTCAGCTTCCAGCATTCATTGGTAATCCTGGTGATTACTTGGATTCTCGTGGGTATGAGCAATTGCTTAATGAACTGGCGGAAAACGATAATAGCAGGAGGGGAGCTCCTCCTGCCTCGAAGACTGTGGTTGACAGCCTTCCCACTGTGCTGATCACCGAAAAGCAAGTACAGCAGGGGTTAGCACAGTGTGCAGTCTGTAAGGATGACGTGGAGGTCGGTGAATCGGCCACACAGCTTCCATGTTTGCATACGTACCACAGTGATTGTATAGTACCTTGGCTGTCTTCAAGGAATTCGTGCCCAATTTGCCGCTTTGAGCTGAAGACAGATGATGCTGACTATGAGGAACAGCGAAGTCGTCGAAGAGGTATGACGGATGGGCAAGGAAGAGGGTGGGGACTCAGTGGTAATGAACAAGTTTCGCAGGTTGCAGCGGCTGGCAGTGGCCATCAGGATGAGCCTGATTTGGCACAGAGGAACAGCGACAGCTGTATCTGACATAATAATGAGTGAGCACGCAGAAAGAAGAATCTATTCGTGAGCATTGCAGGTCGCTTGCGCTGTCTAGCAGGACCGTCATACTGCAGCAGTGATCGGCGAACAACAGGAGGGCGCACCAGGTCGGAGTGGAAAAGGTTTTTTTTTGCAGCAGAGTGGATGAGCATCTGAGATTGCTGTTGAGAGCCAGCAAGCTTGTTTACGCCAGAATTCGGTGGCACAGGAGTGGTGGGAGCTGAAGCCAACTTGAGAGAGGAGCAGATTCAAGCAGCAAAGGATATGGGTGGGCTGGAGAGAAGACGAGGGTGGCAATTTGCAGCAAATAGTCGGCCGGAGAAACTGAACTCCAGTGATGACTGCATAGAGGAGCAGTGACAACGACAGTCGGCAACCTGGTCGCAAGGTAATGTTTTGTGATATAAAGCCGTGTGGATGGGTTGGCTGGCTAGCTGGTCACCAGGATTAGTTAAAAGACGGGGTTCTGGTTTCGAGGCTATTCTGCGCAGATGATGTGAGGTGCGTTCTTTCCGGGTAGTCGGCATCACAGGCAAGCCGGAACCATGCCAAGGTGATTTTTTAGGCCTTGCCTGTCGGGTGTGGAGAAGAGAATCTGCTGCGGAATTCCACAGATCGTATCGCCCTTTTCCATAGAGGCTCTGATTGACTTTCAACCTTTCTTTGCGTGCTTTGTGTGCTGGCTCCGCTTGAACCCTGAAAGTCGGGAGGTCTACTAACTGCTCGCAGCTGATTCTGGAAGTGCTGTTGTTTTTCCTGGCAGCATTGGCGTTGTTGTGAGCGCTCTTCCGTGCAGTTACCACCTATTTCCTGGGGGGGGGAGCGGGGGCGCAGTGGAATTTGTGCCACATGGTTGAAGGGTGTGGCGGCATCAATGGTTAAGGTGACCTATGAAGAAGTGTCGTGGCGGGGAGCCACGTCATGCATGGTGTAAGTTAGTCTGTTCTCCTCCCCCCCCTCCCCCCTCTCTCGCCTATCCCCTCTTCTTACGAAGCCAATGAATGTTTAGTTCTTTGTGTACGAGACCTCAATCGGTCTGGTGGAGTGCGAACTTCTCATCGCGGCAGGAGGAAGGGTATAATTTGGCTTCCAGCCCTTGAGCCTTTTGGGAGCAAGACTCAGTCTTGCTTACGTTGAGACTGACCGGTACCGGCCATCTTTTGTGTGCTGTGGACTTGACCAAATGGTTCCTCTTTCCGTGTGTCTACAGCAGCACCGGCCTGAGTGTGTCTAGGGTGGTCATGTTGTGACTGGTGCCGGCAAGGGTTATGAGGTGCCAGCAGGACAGTTCGTTTCACCTGCAAGGCAGCAACACTGTTACACCTGCCGGCAAGGGTTATGAGGTCGTCGATATCGTACCTCTTTTAGACCGTGGGGCTGTTGGAAACAGCCTGACATGCTGTCAGTCATTACCGACAGTCACCATCTGTACACACACACACATCAGGTGCCAATGCATTTGTTTGCAAAGGCTCTCTGTCTCTGTCCGGCTCTCTTCCTCCATCTCCCTCTCTCTGTGTCTGTCTCTTTCCCACGCATGCTCAATTGGAGCACATTCACACACACACACACACACACACACGCACACGTGTGACACTTATTTCGTTACCATTCATTTCTATGATGCTATCGCAAATTGCGGGCATGCTAGGACTCCTAGAGTAGTTGCCTGCTTAAATTGGGTTTGTTGATTCTTTGTTTGGCAGGTAAGGTTTGCAGTCGCATATAGTTTGCCGGCTTCCAGGTCAGCCAGCCAGCTTTCATGTGCTGCTGACTGATGATGGCCTTGTTCCTCGTCTAGTTAGATGAGTGTGGTAGTAGTGTCGAGGTGCACGCAGTACCCAGCATGAATAGGATGTGATTAGTCAAGTGCGAGGCGAATCTTCTTCGCAAACACACTAATTGGTGATTTCTTGAAGAGTACAGAGGAAGATAAATCCTTCCGCAGCCAAGCTCTAACTTGCATATACGGTTTACCGGGCAGCTCTGTTTGACATTATATATATCTATATGTTCGTGACGGAGAGGCACTTGCATGAACAAGGGTCAAACGTTTGTTTGTTTTTTGTCCCCTTCTGCTCTTACATCCCACTCTGCCCTCCCTCCCCCCCCCCCCCCCCCCCCCCCCCCCCCCCCCCCCCCCCCCCCCCCCCCCCCCCTCTCTGCACCTCTCTTCCTGAAAAAGTGCACTTTCGTCGGTTAAAACTGGAATGATACAGAGAAGATTAGCATGGCCCCTGAACAAGGCCGACAACTTGATGCACAAAAATGGAGAAATGGTCCAAGTAAAAAAAAAAACAGCAGGAATGCAGAAACTGCTGCAGCATGCAAGGTATATGGGATATCACCTTTGATTTTCTTATCCTGTTTTTCTTTTTTTTTTCCTGCTTTTCTCTTATGACTAATCATTTTCTCATTGCATGCTTGCAGCGCTACTTCCTTCCCGGCTTCGCTATACTGTTAACCATTGCCGACATCATTGGGAGTGTGAGAATGTGATCTACCTGCTTCTGTTATGAAACTCGTGCATGTTGAGTGCGATGGGTTTGCTGTTTGTCACTGAGTGATGGCCAAAGATTCATGAGGAGCATTTGAAACGTCAGGCCGTGCTGAGGTGAGAGGGCTGTGTTATGTAACTGACTTCTGATGATCTTTTTTTCGTCAATTGACCAGCTTAAAATCACTACCTTTTGGGCTGGGAGGCTAAGAAGTAAAAGTAACCTATACCGCATTCTTCGGAGGCTTGTCGAGGATGGGCGCTATCGGATCACAAAGTCTGGCGGCACCAGCCAAAAGAAAACAAAAACCCGGTGCTGGCGCTTCGGTCCGCCGTTGACAAGCAGTTTGACTCGACCTCGGCAAAATGAGGCTCGGAGGTAGTGGTGGTTTAACAAACGTCATCCAAAATGCCTTCATTCTACCTTCTTCACCTGAATACATTGAACGGTCATTATAGCCGTATTTGGGGTATCTTTTAGTCTCACTACAGCAATAATGACCGTAGGTTGTATTTGGCGCTAATGATTAGTAGGTGGTGGTGTTATTTTCGGCGATTTTTTTTACCGAAACTGCCATATTTCTCTGAGTTTTTGCCTTCTTTTTTTTCTGTGTGTGTGTGTGATATGTATGTGCTTTAGGGTATATCTGTATGCAGTTTCCACGTATTTGGACCATAAACAAAAAAGGTCGCGAAAACGCCGAATTGGGAGGAAAAAAATGGTGAGTCCGAAAGCTACGCCGAATAGGGTTTCATAGTGCTTTTGAGTGTTAGTTTTTTCGGTTTTTTTTTGCCCATTGTTTGTTCGCAAAATTTTTGGCAACATTGCTTGTGGTGATGTGGCGAAAAACCCCGGGCCTTCCATTCTCTCTCGGTGAAGAAGGTAGTTTATAGCTAGGCCGTTTTCCCCGACGCCCGGGCACCAAACTTGTGCCCGGGTTCACGCCCGGGTGCCCGGCCGGGCATGAGCCCCGGGCAGGGTCCTGGGCAGCCCCAGTGCAGGGAAAAAAAAAAAAAAAAAAAAAAATCCGGGAATGAAATGATGTGTAGAATTGCAATACAAACAACTTTTGGCCGAGGGTCGCATCAGAATAATTCACGGAACTAAAGATCAAAAAGAAAATAACCAAATCACACTAGGGCAACCCCCTTTAAACCCCTTTAGCCCCTTTAAAAGCAATTTATACCCCTTCCCCCCCCCCCCTACCCCGGTGACAGCCAACACTCAAAGAAAGGAAAGAGCCCAGATTTGGGCGGCTCCCCCATGCCCAGTTATCTCGGGCGTCAGACCCACCCAGGTGTCACGCCGGGGTGACCGGCCGGTCGTTAAAATCTTCCTAGGTTTATAGTAAAGTCGTCATCATCATTGTTATCAGCCTTGGCTTGCTGTTCTCGAAAGTCGCTTCGATCTTGTGAAGTAGTGTTTGCAGTGCAGCTGTTATGCATGAGAGCAGCTCTGTCAATTGGTGATCAGAGACTGCTTGGTTTTGGCTCCTTGTGGAACCAGTCTAAACGAGCGCTACCGTTTTCACCCAGATAGAATGCCCCGTCATTATCACTGTATCGGGACTGAAAAGTGCCACAAATGCACAGCTTTAATGACTGGGCGCTCTTCGGGTGAAGACGGTTGGCCCACAAGTTGACGATTGGATGCTCTCTCCAGCTGATCTCCCTCCTTATCTCCCTCGCCTTTGTCCCACACGTGCATGTTTGAACCTCCTGATGAAGCGGTGAAAAGGCTGGAAAAGGGGTGCAGTCTCGCGAACATGACGACAGACAATCGGCGAAAGTTGGGCTGAGGGATCTTGCCCTGCTGCTCCCCATAATAGATCGGGCCATAATTTGTTGTGTTGGCAAGAGAAAGAGAAGGTGGTTCGTGAAAACCAGCCCCCTTAATCATATCATTTTGTGGATCCCTGCCTCCTACTCCTCTCCCCATCCCCCCCTTCCTCCCCTGCCCCTGGCTGAGCAGATAAGCTCTGAATGTATGTCTGTTTGTCTTTTTCATCATTCTCATCAAATGAGAAGGTGCAAAATTTGGTGGCCCCCCTCACTGACCATTACTGCAGTCAGCATATCAGCATATAGAGTTGCTTAAGCCTTCCTTGTCCCAGGGCAGCTGTTGTCATCAGTCAGCTCTGGTGGTTTTAATTCTTGTCGTCGAGCTCTTTTCCAACTGCCGTCTATTTGCTGCCTGCTGCTCTATCAATTGCTGCTCTTTCAATGGGTGTGGTTTTCATTGTCAGATCAGATGGAGAAAGGAACTGTTTTTTTTTTTTTTTTTGCTGTGGTAATGAATGTCATTGTTTTTATGAACACATTGGTTTCTATTGAGTTCTTCTGAGAAGAAGAATACTCGGTCTGTCCGTCTTCTCCTGCTTTCTCCGTCGTCTTCTTCTTTGTTGTCTTGATCTTCTGGTCCTCCTCCTCCTCCTCCTCCTCCTCCTCCTCCTCCTCCTCCTCTTCTGCTACCTCCTGATCCTTAGACTTTCCCTCTCTCCTCAGCCTTGCGTTTATGGGTACTATGGATACGATGGAACCGGTATTGCGGAGATGTACTATCGCCCAAGAAAAAGTCAGGAGAAAATTGCAGTTGGTTGGCCCATCCTTTGGGTCCTGATATGGTGTAATGTGTGCAGGTGTGCTGCTATGGCAGATGGGTGTGTGGCCATTTTGCACGCAGTCACAAGAATGCGGTGAATCTTGGAATTGAGAGGCACAGTAAAAGGGAAAGTTGAAAAAAGAAGAAAAAATAGAGACACCATGGAATACCCAAAAGGAGGAAAAGAGACAGAGGCATGATGAGCGGTTTCGCTGTGGCAGCCTGCCCTTGTATTTCTCTCCTGGTTTCTCTGATTCTTTCTGTGTGCTCTTTGATGATAGACATGGAACAATACTGACATTCATGGCCCTCTTGTTCTTTTTTAGCGTGTAGTGTACGCTACTGTCTTCACCCGAATACAGCGGATGGTTATTGTAGCTGTATTTTGGGCAACTTTGAGTCTAGATACAGCAATGATGACCGTATGTTGTATTTGAGTGAAGACAGCAGTTCACCCTTTGCAGCGTAATGTACGACCAAGTTTACATTGGTGCCTGCACAGCAGCAGGGGGGTTGTGATGCAGTGATGGATGGGTGTTTGTCTCTCTGTGTGTGTTTCTGTTAGTGTCTGCACATGTATGTGTGTGTGCATAGGACTGCATACAGACATGCATGTATGCAGGAATGAGCATGAGTTTTGACATTCTTCTTCTTCTTGACATTCTTCTTCTTCTTCTTCTTCTTCTTCTTCTTCTTCTTGACATTCTTCTTCTTCTGCTTCTTCGTCTCCTCGTCCTCCTCCTCATTCTCTTCTCTCTCTCTCCTTCTTCCCTTCGCTCCTTCTCTCCTTCTCCTCCTCCTCCTGAACGAGCATGCGTTTTTACAGTTTTACTGTCTTCTTCTTCGGCGTCGTCCTTCTCTTCTTCTTCGTCTTCTTCTTCTTTGCAATCAGTTAAAAGCAGCATATGACACACCGACTTGAGTTTACAGCAAGAAAGCGCATCATATCTATCCAGATCATCACATAAAGGATATGGTATACTGCTATACATGAGTCGGTGCCGATACTGCGCATGGCCTTTTGGCTACCACCTGCAGCACCCATTTTTATGCCACCTTCTTCGCCTGCAGCTTCATATATGTTGCACGTCCGGCCGCGGCTTGGGGGGGGGGGGGAATCGGCCGATGGCCGAATCGGCCAGGTTCGGCCAAGGCCGACCAGCCGAGTTTGGTGCAGCATTTTAGCATTTTTTTTTTCCTAACGCATGAAAAAATATATATATATATATCTCGTTTGTTGTCCTCTTCTCCCTCTCTGCCTACGGTTTACCGGGCAGTTCTATTTGACGATATATATGGGCGTGTAGGGCTAAAAAAACCCTAAACGCCCATATTTGTCTTGGGGGCATTGTTGTTTTCTAATGCGTAACAAAAAAGAAAAACAGAAAAAAAAAAAAAAACAACGCTTCGAAACCCCGTGCAAGTGTGTGTGTGTGTGTGTGTGTGTGTGTGTGTGATCGGGCGGGGATAGGGGGGGCGACCCCTCCCCCAGCAATCAATCAATCAATCAATCAATCAATTAATCAATCGAAAAAGAAAAGAAAAAAATGAGAAAATGGAAGTGTGTGTGTGTGTGTGTGTGTGTGTGTGTGTGTGTGTGTGTGTGTGTGTGTGTGTGTGATCGGGCGGGGGTAGGGGCCGCGACCTCTCCCCCAGCAATCAATCGAGCAATCAAGCAATCAATTAATCAATCGAAAAAAAAAGAAAAAAAAAGAAATGAGAAAACGGATTTTTAAACCTTGCACAAGTATGTGTGTGTGTGTGTGTGTGTGAGATCGGGCGGGGGTAGGGGGGGCGACCCCTCCCCCAGCAATCAATCAATCAATCAATCAATCAATCAATCGAGAAAAAGAAAAGCG